CCAGGAAAAATCATTACATTTTGCCCCATAACCTTAGGCACACGGGGCATTTGGCCCCGCTGCAACGAGCCGACAGAGCGCACACTTCAGCTGAAAAAGCCTCTCAAGAGGAGCTGTGTGCACTCCGTCCTCAAATGGGGCTCAACAATCCACAACACCTTCGGAAAGCGGACTTGGGGCGATCGGCGTGACGGAGCTGATCCTGTACAGGCAAACAATGCCGAGATCGTGTGCATCGACTGAGCCTGCGACGACACGGCGTCAGAACAACAAGATCGACACGGGGCTCTCCGTAGGGGAGCTTCCGATAGTAATAAGTATATATGCCGTTGTAAAAATAGAATATTATTATTGTATTATAATTATAGTTCAATAAACATGAACTGGGGTGTCACTCTCTTGCGAGGGCACCCCTATTTAACAAAAAAAAAATAGCCAAATGCCTAGTCATCTAATTAGTGACGCGCATGAATGGATTAATGAGATTCCCACTGTCCCACCCAGAAGAGATTAATGAATGGGCGGAATTAGCGCTGGAAGAAGAGACTATGTAGTACCAGGTCCTTTACCTCAAAATAAAATAAGGAATTAGATAATATTAATAGATTTTAAGGTATCGTTGTATAATTTAAATGTATTGTATTAGTTTTTAAGGTATTGTTGTATGTAAATTTTAAAAAATTGTAGGTAATTTTAAAAATAAATAAATAAATGGTCTTCTTTCCCCGCTTAAATCGGGTGCCCGGTTTTCGCACTGCTCTAGGTCGGTCGGATACCGGGTGCTTTAGGAGAGCGGAGATGGGATAGACTCTCAAAGGTGCACTGTGTGCTTCCCTAGAGAGTTTTATGGGTTCTGCTTGAGAGTGGTTTCACTAGATAGTTGGTGGGCAAGAGTCGCGAAAGTCTCACGATATAACGCTAAATCAAAGGAATGTCCCACCCAGAAATGAATGGGTAGAAAATGTAATTTTAGAAGTAAGTACAGAAATTTTTAGATGCATGATGAAGGATGGAAGAATATCAATAAATTTAACGAGAATGTATGTGGAAGAATACTTGGAATTGATGTTGTGTTTTAATTGCAATGGTTATGGTCACAAGGCCAACTTGTGTAAGGAAGAAAAAAAATGCTACAAATGCGGAGAAAAACACGAAGCAAAAAATTGCGATAAGTTCGTCTTGGACTGTACTAATTGTAAGAAATACAACATCAACGTGAATGAAAGAAGGCATAAGGCTTTGGACAAAGAATGTCCAATTTATAAATTAAAATTGGAAAAATAGAGAGACAATATTAAATATAATAATAATTGATACAAAATTAAAAATACTCCAGTTGAATGTAGGAAGAGGGAAAGAGGCGACTGAATTGATGAAACAGAGAGTGAATGACTGGAATATAGATATAATTTTTTTACAAGAACCGTATGCCAAATTGAATGAATGGAATGGGTATGAAAGATTTTCAAACGGAAATAGGGCAAAAAGTGAGATTTGGATGAAAGAGGATTTGAATGGGATAAGAGTGAATGAGTTAATTTCAAATAATGTGGCTTCATGTAAAATTGAGAATTTATATCTCTTCTCAATTTATGATGAACCAGGAGGAAGAGTGAACAACAGATTTCTCGAAATCCAAAATAAAATTAAAATGTTAAACGCAAATAAAATTATATGTGGAGATTTAAATGCCAAAAATCAGGCATGGGGAGGGAATTTAAATGATGAAAGGGGTGAGGAATTATTATTATGGATTTTGGATTCGGGATTAATAATTTTTAACACTCAAAATTCGATAGCAACCTTCAGCAGTACCAGAGGCGAAAGTTGGATTGATCTAACTATTGGAAGTCCTGGTATTGTTGAAGGTTGGGATGTAAGTGATGACGAATCACTTAGTGATCATAGATACATCACCTTTGATTTGATAATAAATGAAGTAAAACCCAAACAAAAATGGGTGAATGATTACATTAAAACAAACTGGACAGACTTTGAAAGAATGATTGAAGATTTTGATGAAAGAATGATGGTTACGAATGATGATGTAGAGAATGAGGCAGAACGGTTCCAAAATTATTGTAGTTTGGCATGTAAAAAATTTATAAAAAGAAAAATTTTATTAGATAAAAACGAAACAGACTGGTGGGACAATGACTTAGAAAATTCAAGGAAGAATGTTAACCAAATAAGAAGAAAATTTACAAACGAACATGACCAACAGCTTAGAATATTATACATGTTAGACTTTAGACGACAAAGACAACTCTACAAAAAACTAATTAAAGTCAAAAAAAAATTAGCACATGTAAAATCTTTAGAAAAATTAACAGGAGAAAATAGTTGGAATAAAATTTGGGATTATATAAGAAATTCGGGTATAAAAAAAGGAAAGGAAGGATTAAAGACAGACAATGGACGTTACATAACAAAAGGAGACGAATTAGACACAACTTTGATAAAAAAAATATCATCCTCCTTTAGACTACAATGCTATTAGAATATTTGATCAAAAGAGAGAAAGCAACAGCGAGTGACAGAATACCAAACGAAGCGATTGTACATATATGGAAGGCAAAGGATGTATGGATGAGGAGACTCTATTGCGAATGTTGGAATAGGGAAATTTTCCCTAAAGTATGGAAGAGAGCTGATCTGGTATGAATCCCAAAGGAGAAAGGAGGTTTTAGACCTATAACACTTCTTCCTTGTTTGGGAATAAATACTAGATAAGCTAACGAATGAAAGAGTGAGAGCATGGTGTGAATGTAAGGGAAAATTCAGCAAAGGACAGTATGGTTTCAGAGGTGGAATAGGTACGATTAATGCACTAAAAACATTAATCGACAAAGTTAAAGCAACAAAAGCTGAAGGGAAGCATTCGCTGATAGTTACTTTGGACCTTGCCAATGCTTTTAACATGTCATGGCCAGAAAGCATTGACCGTGAATTTGAGAGAATGAGAACGCCGAGGAGAATGAGAAATATGTGTTGGAATTTTTTAAAAGATCGACTGGTTAAAAGCGGGAATGTGAATGAAAGTGTTTTTAGAGGTTGTCCACAGGGTTCTAGTTTAGGACTAACTTTGTGGATAATCGAAATGGAAGAATGGTTGAGAAGAATAAATGAAATGGATGTAGGAATATATGGACAAGCATTCGCCGACGATCAAGTGGTCGTGATCGCGGGGAATTCAGTAAAAGAAATTGAAAGGAAATGGATAAATGTTTGGGGTGTATGTGAAAATTGTAAACAAAATGTATGTTTGTAGAAGCAAGAGGAAATATAAGAGGACCGGTAGTTAGAATGGAAAATGAAATTTTAAAATTGGATGAATGGATAGAGTATTTGGGAATGAAATTGGATAAAAAATTCAATTTCATTGAACATTTGAAAGGAGTGAGAGCGAAAACTGGAGGGACTGCAACAATGTTAATGGCCTTATCAAGAAACAAAGGTAAAATTGATAAAGAAAAGGTAAAAAATATCTATGAGTTAGTAGTCCTTCCAGCTGTTATGTATGGAGTGGATATATGGGGAGAAAGAGCGAATGACAAGAGAGTCCAAAGGCAACTTTCGGCCATACAGCGGATGTTTCTTTTAGGAATTGTTAAAGCTTATAAAACAACGCCAACTGAAACTCTTCAAGTTTTAGCAGGCTGTCCACCAATGAAGATACTGGCTTTAGCTGAATTTAGATGGAAAAGAATGAAAAGAGAAGAGGACGAAAGATTTAGAATGAAAGAGAGGGAGAGAATGTTTCCATCTGATATGAATGAAGAAAACGACTTTACATATACAAGAATGAATGAAATATATGTGGATATGAGTGAAAGGAATAATGTTATGAGTGTGGGTTGGGTTTTACTATCAAATCAAAGAGTGATGGAATCAGAAGGTTATATAATTGATGGAGTTGAAGGAACACTACAAGGAGAATTATGTGGAATATTTTTGGTTTTAAATTACATAAACAATATTGGAATTGAAAATGAATTATATTACATAAATACAGATAATTTAACTGCGACAAAATTACTCAAAAACAGAAAAACACATCACAAAATTATTGGAACTATTCAAAGTAAAATTATAAGTTTGAGAGAAAGAAAAATTTATGTGTGTGTAAGATATAAAAATAGAAGTACGAATGGAATGATGAGAGCGCATGATAAAGCAAATGAATCAAGACTGAATGGAATAGTTATGGTAATGAATGATTGGGGATTAAGAAACACAAAAATATTAAGAAAAAGAATGAATGAGGAAATTTTGAATGAATGGCAGAATGAATGGATAAATTCGACAAAGGGAAGGGAAACTTTTCAAATATGTAACGAGGTAGGGAGAGAACTAATTGGGTTGTCTTTCAAAGCAACACAATTGGTAACAGGACATGGGAATATTAGGGGTTATTTAGCAAGATTTGATTTAATTAGGGATGAAGGAATGTGTGAATGTGGACTAGAAATTGAGAGTATGAATCATGTAAGAGAAAGGTGTACTCTAGATTATAGAGTACAAGCGCGGGAAAGAGTGTTAGAAGAGGGATTAGAGTGGATGAATTTAAATTTAAGGGATGGGGGTATAAATTTTCACAATGTGGCAGTAATTAATGAATCGGCAGAGGGAGCGTTATTAATTGAAGAAATGTAAGACCCATTTTCTTACAATTAAATGTTTATTAAAAATAGTTATTACTTTATAATTAGATTTAAATTGGATATATTTTCAATATTTAGATAATTTAGAATTAATTAAATAAATTAAGTGGTTTCTTTCCCCAATAATGGGATGCCTATTTTTCGCACAGCTTAATAGCAGTCGGAAAATAGGGATCTTAGGAGAAGCGGAGATGGGATGGACTCTAATGGTGCACTGTGTATTTCCTTAAGAGTCCTACGGGTTTCATTGAGAGTGGTTTCATTAGATAGTTGGTGGGTAATCAAGTGGAAGTCGAAAGATATAACACAAAAAGAAATTAGAGTAATGTCCCACCCATGTCTGAGCTGAAAGGGAGAATGGTGAGGGGTAATATAGTTTTTTGTGGCAGAAATGAAGAAGGAATAAAGAAAGCTCACCAAAAGGCAAATGCCCTCAGAGAGGAAGATTTGTATGAGGAGGTGACTCCTCATAGTGCCGGATGGAGTGAAGTCTTCTTTCCCCGCTCAACACGGGTGCCTGGCTTGCGTCTGCTTTAGGGCGGTCGGAAATCGGGGACTTTAAGAGAGCGGAGATGGGATGGGTCTCTGAAGGTGCACTGTGTGCTTCCCTAAGAGACGCTATGGGTTTGCCTTGAGAGTGGGTTCGGTAGATAGTTGGTGGGTTAAAAAGAAAGATGTGCGAAAGCCGAAAGGCAGGACACGCAGGAAGTTTTATTGCCATGTCCCACCCACCAACGGTAGAAATGCCTCAAAGCGAGGATAGCGAACAGGAAATTCGGAGGTTGGAAACGCTGGCAATCAGTCAAGGTGGAATCCCTAAAGTTCTAGCCTTAAATAGAACGCCTCCGGACACACAAACGCCACCGGGCATCAAGGTCAAAAGGAGAAGGGCCTACTATACACCCGGAAACGAGGGGACGCACCTAGCAACGGACGAACAGGATACATACTCGTCTTCCACCGACGAAGATGCCCACAAAGACAAGCGAAGGAGGGAGAGGGACGCAAGGAGTCAGGTACGAGCGGAAGCCATAGCAGCGATAAGGGAGAAAGCACAAGGCGGAGTTATAGGTATACAGGCCGGCGACGAGGAATTAATGGGAGGAATCGACCCTGACAGGCGAACCTCGGCATACTAGAAAAGTTCTCTTTGGCAAAACAGGAAATACTTCGAGCCACGACGCGGTTCTCAGGGGGCAAAATTCAATTCTGTAAAGAGGATCAAACAAAAGTCAAAGCCCAACTTGACATACTAGGGGAAGTTATGATTCTGGCCGCATATCAAATGGGCAAAAAAGCAGTCATTCAGAAGCGCTTTATGAGAGATCCGGACCTAACGATAATAATAAAAGAGCAAAGCGCAGAGATACAGAAACTGAACGACCAAATTAAAGAAATATGGGAAACGCTGAGGGAAGCTCCAAGCACATCGGCACAAAAAGACACCAGACCTCAACAACTCAGAAAACCACAACAGCACAAACAACTCAGGGAGACTGATACAGACACAAGACAAACAGAGAGAGAAGAGACGGACGACGGATACCAACTAATCGAACGAAGAAAGAAGAAGAGGACCTACGCCGGCGTTACACAAGCCACGAACAGAAGAACCGAAGGGTGGACGACCCCCGAGCAGAAGCCGAACAACCCCAAATCAGTGATATCGCTGCCGAACGTGGAGGACCCCAGAGCTGTACTACAGACATTTAAGAAATTAACAGCAGGAACCATACAGGGCGCCTTCAAGAATATAATAACGATTGAAAAGGGCAAGGTGATCATACATTACAGAGATGAGGCACAAAAGAAGGCAGTAACTGACAAACTAGCTGTGACCAACTGCCCTCTTGTGGTCAACCACGGGAAGAGACCGGTCCCAAAATTTATGTTCACGGAAGGATACACAGACGAGGAAGTCTGGGACCCAATAGAGGCAGAGAATGAAGACGTCTCTGAGATATACAAGGGAAAATTGAAACAGAGGGCGAAAATAGTAGCCAGGCGCGAATCCCGAAATGCGTTCAAAGAAAACTTGATTGTGGAAGCGGACGTGGAAACTTTCAAGTTTTTCATGAAGAAAACAAGGGTTTACTTGGACCTGGTGACGGTCTACGCAGAAGAGGTTTTTAATGTGGCACTCTGCTTCAACTGCCACAGATTCGGCCACATAGCCAAGCACTGTAAAGACCGCGCGAAAACCACAGGGGCGATGCATGCCAGAGCTCACGCCTCGCCTGTCCTACCTGCAAGGCAACAGGAATTGATGAACGTGACAGACAACATACGGCCAGGGACAAAATGTGCCCCGTCTATAAACGCAAAGAGGAACAAACGAGACAACTGACGGACTACAGGGACAACAAATAATACAATGGGCCTACGTATACTTCAAATCAATGTGGACAAGGGGAGGGAGGCGACAAACGTAATGGAGCAAAACGCCAAGGAACTGAATGTAGATATAATCATCGTACAGGAGCCCTACAACAAGTGCAACAGCCATGCGTACAACATTCATGGCGGCATAGATGGCACAAAGACACACATATGGTTGAAAAAATCTATGAAGTCGGTACACACCTGCCAGGAAATGACAAACAAGAACATGGCCACAATCAAGATCACTGAGTCAAAAGACGAAGAAATATACATAACCTCATTATACAACGAACCTGGTGGCAACCAAAACATCAGACTTACACAAAACAGTGACAAGCTCAGGAGCATAAAAGGCACACACATCCTCGCCGGCAACTTTAACGCACATCACGAGGCCTGGGGCGGACAAACGACAGACGCAAGAGGCACTCAAACAATGGACTGGGCAGTTGCAAACGGATACAATATAGAAAATGACAGGATTTTTAAACTAACTCAATGAAGCCAATTTTCATCTAAATTTAACTTTAAACTGATCTAATCAAGCCAATTTTCATCTAAACTCGATTTTAAGCTAACAAGGACCGACTTTTGAGACAGCAAGGGGGCAAAGTTTCATCGACCTCACCCTCACAAAAAGAACAGCCACTAAGGACTGGAAAATCCTGGAAGAGGAAAGTCTGAGCGGACAAAAATACATCACATACACAATCGACAGACAAAGCGCCAACAAGACATCGAAAAGGAGGGAGTACGACTTCGTGAACACAGACTGGGACGCTTTCGGCGCTAGAATCAGGGAGAAAATAATAAAATACAACTGGGAGCTACGAACAACAAACGACCTAGAGAATAGCGCCGCAAGAATACAAGAGATCTGCAGCAAGACCTGTAAAAAACTCATAAGGCAAAGAGAGGTAAATGAACAAACACAAGACTGGTGGAACGAGGACCTACAAAAGCTGCGACAGAACACCAGAAAACTAAGAAGAGAGTGGCAGGAAGAACAAGGACAAATCACGAAACAATTAAAATCACAAAAATACAGGACACAAAGACGTACATACAAACGAGCGGTGCAGGAGGCAAAAGTTAGGGCCATCCAGACCACGGTGGAAAACATGTCTAAAAACGACCCCTGGCACCGTCTCTGGAAAATGCTGGGCAGCAATAAACGAAACAACCCGCAGACAAACATCAAGAGAGACGACGGCACACATACGAGAGAGAGTCTAACGAATACCTCGTTAGCAAATACTTTCCTGACGACGATCCGGAGAAGGACAATCATTAGATGAGGGCCATGAGGGTGAGGGAGAGGGAATACTCGGAAGAAAAGGACAAGGACATAAATGACCAAGAGATCGAGGACATCATAGTAGGACTCGACAAAGGCAAAGCCACTAGCACTGACAAAATACCAAACGAAGCCATGACATACATATACGGGGCGGAGCAACGGATACTGTGCGACATTTACAAGGGCTGTTTCACAGTGGGATACTTCCCGAAGGCATGGAAGAAGGCCAATATTGTCTGGCTACCAAAGAAAGACGGCACACCGAGACCCATCAGCTTACTACCTACACTAGGAAAAATACTCGACAAAGCAATAAACAAAAGACTGCAACTACATCTAGAGAGGACACATAACATTGACAGCAGACAGTATGGTTTCAGGGAGGGCACTGGTACAGTGGAGGCCCTAGATAACCCAACCAAGACCATACAGACGAACAAGGACCAAGGGGCCCATCAACTTATCATTGGCCTGGACCTGAGGAATGCATTTAACTCGGCATGGAGCCCATATATAAGCTCCGAGCTGGAGAAAGCGCGGACGCCGGCAAACCTTAGGAAAATTTGCGAGAACTTCCTAGTAGATCGGACTATCACAGCGGGGACAGTGGAAAGGCAAATGACAAGGGGATGTCCACAAGGATCGCGCCTGGGACCAACACTGTGGCTGGTCGTTATGCAGGGATGGTTCAGGGCCCTAAATGACGCAAACGAAGAAAGACTCACAAGACACTACGAGAACCTGGCACAGATATAGGCCTACGCAGACGACCAAATAATCGCCATCTCAGGGTCATCCCTGTACAATTTGGAGGCGAAATGGAACGCCGTGTGGGCAGTTTGCAAGGCATGGGAGGAGACCAGCGCCCTGGAATACAACAGTTCGAAGACGGAGATCATGTTCATGCCGGGAGCCAGGAAGACAAGGGAGCCGAGAATAAGGATCGATGGAAGCGTAGTGCAGCTGAAGGACAACATCAAATGCCTCGGCCTTGTCTTGGACAAGCATATGAATTACGTGGAGCACATGCGACAGATGAGAGTCAAGGTCCGTAAGGCCACGAAGAAGATCATGGGCACGATTAGAAGAAAATGGGGCTAGGACAGGCAAGTCATGAAAGAGATCCTAGACAAGGTTGTAAAGCCCGCAGCGCTCTGCGCAGGCGAGATCTGGGGGGCGAAGGCAGACAGCGCCCTTGGAAGAAGGCACCTGGACGCAGCAATCAGGCCAATCTTACTGAATGTTTGCGGCGCATACTCGACCGTATCAAATAGTGCCCTTCAAGTCATGGCAGGCTTCCCCCCTCTTTGGCTGACAGCGGCAGAACGCAGACAAGACTGGACCAATCACACTGACGACATACAGCGAGCGAAAGTCAGGACTACCGATAAGCCGCATCCAACAACAAGAGGACGGCTCACAGATCACGAAGAGACAACCGAAATACATACGGACGCCAGCACAGGGAGGATAGGCATAGGGATTTACATAGAGGGCCAGGTAAGACAATCCATCAGAGGCCCCGACGGCATGAGCATCGACAGAGCGGAGGCGCTGGCAATGCTAATGGGCCTCGAGGCATTGAGGAATCGGAACATCAGATGACTTACCATGGTCACAGACAGGGCACAGCTGGCAACCAACATACTCCAGACAAATATTAAAGATAGGATTATCGCACACATCCTGAGGAATGCGGAGCTCATGATGGATGGAGGTACCATGGTAAGTGTCTGCTGGAAAAAGGGGCACACGGCCGGGAATGCTGGGAACAGGGAGGCAGGCATTCTGGCAAGGCGAGCCAGGAATGAAGCCGAGGGAGAGAGACCGGATGGGGAATGGTATGACCACATCAGTAAAAAAACACGAAGAAGGGCCAGAGAGGCAAGAATCATGGACAGGTGGCAGCAACTTTGGGATCAGGGGCGGACAGGGAGGGAGCTATACCAGCACTGTGCACAGGTGGGCCTAGACCGATTAAACCTAGGATTCAAAGCGGTGCAAATGGTCACAGGGCACGGCAATTTGAAGCACTACGTCCATAGGTTTAAACTTAGAGATACAGACAGCATATGTGAATGCCAGCTTCACGACATTCTGTCTGTGCATGTGTTTATTTTTTAAAATGACGTCATTACAAATGAGTATAGTTTAGACTAGAGATGCCACGAGTATTCGGCATATTCGGCCATTCTTTCTGTATTCGGTATTCGGCCGAATAGTATTAACTGGCCAAATACCGAAAGCTGAATAATGAAAAAAAAAAAAAAAAAAAACGCACATATAACTCAGAAATGTATCTGTTTAATAATAAATCACAATGAATTTAATCCTTAAAATCTATCAAATAGGCGACTTTTTATTAATTACTAGTGCCATTTTGATAACTTTTGGCTAAGCATAAACAGTAGTATAAGTAATAACGTGCGATCAAATGAATATAGCTAATAATGCGTATTGTGACAAATGTGATACGGTATATTCTCAAGTGAACCAAATTCCGTCGTTACCGGAGGCGACGCCATGAGAATGAAACAGGTCCTGACTTGTTGTTAACGCACAAAACCCACAGATTTGCCGCCGAATGTTTGGTGGCAGAATATTCGGCACTATAAAAGAGAGAGTGGCCGAATATTCGGTATTCTGTATTCGGCCAAATCACTATTCGTGACATCTCTAATTTAGACTGCTTATGTTGATTCAGTAATATACGGTCTTATTTAAAAAATAAAAATAAGTCAGGTTTTTGACCCCCTCCTGAAAATGTTCTATGGACGCCCTTGCTGAGGACCCTGATAATCAAGGCAAATGAGCCAAACAAGAACTGGCCATGTCACAAGCTAGACCACATATATGGGTACTATGGTAAGGGCTATTTATCCTTGCTGCTTAATTATAAACTGTTTTATTTAATGGCACGTGAAAATAATAATTTAAATAAACTGGGATCAAAAACCTCCATAAAAACTAATTATTATTATCACAAGTTTCATATTATGGACATTTCTTGCATGCTTCAAAAATTATTTTAGAAGCTTAGGAAGACGCGCTGGAGCAAGAGAAGAAGGCCGTCCAAGAAATGTCTGAATCTGAGTCAAATGACAGGGGCCCTGGCAAGAGAAGAACTAAAAATTAGAGGCCAATTTCTCCCCAGCCATCATTTTTTTCTGACAGTAAGCTGGTCTATTATATGTTGAAATTTTCATTATTTCACTTACGCTTTATTTTATTTTTTCAGGTGATACTGGTGATAGTAATGAAATTGATAAATGTGATGCAAATCCCTTGGTCGGCACAAACTCCAGTGATATTGATAATAATAATTGTGATGCAAGTTCCCTGGCCGGCACAAGCTCCTCAAGCAAAAGCATTTTTAGTATGGGTAAACATATTTTTAACATTTCGGAAATATGCCTATAAAATTATACTCGGAAGGAGAGTTTTCAATTTTTTGCCATGAAAAAAATTTAATGAGCTTCAGCTTCAGCAATTTTACTTACTTCGATATTGATTTTTTTTTAGGAAATAGTCAAAACCCAGAGAACGAAATTATGGCGGATGTGATTATTATAAACGAAAACTCAAGTAAACATTATAACGTATTAATTTTTAATTCTGTAAATATAATTTTTTTCTTCAAACATCAGTGAATCGGGCATTGCTGAGTAGTCGGCTGCGGAGAAAAAAAAAACAGTTTAAACAGTATTTATTTGGAGGAAAAGTTACTTTTTAGGGTTTGCATTCTTTTAGCAGCATTGCTAAACACGAGCGTGCCATGAAAGGTATCAGCTTTCCTCCAAATAAGATAGTATAAGAACTATTCTTTCAATTCATGCAAAACTATTTTGTTTTTATTGAAGACCCAGAGAATAATGAAACCATTAACATGAAGCAGATGGGACAATAGTTGCCGAAATTATTGAGGTAGAGGTTCCAAATACTCAGATTCTGAATAAATTGGAGGAAATAGACAATAAACTCAGCTTCCTGATTTTGCAGTTCAACAACTTGGAAAAAACCAAACCTTCAGCTGGCGAAACCGATTCTTCCAAACTCCCTCCTTTGCCATTGCAAAAAATTGCCAATATTTTGGAGTTTGAAAATTCTTTGAAATGCGTGGAAACTTCTAAACAATTAGTAAGTAGAACCACAACGTATTATTATTATTATGTATGGGGAGTCGTTTTTTTTTTTCTGCAAATAACACGAAAACAATTATTCAAAAATAAAAAAGAATTTTTGAAAAAAATTCCAAAAAGAGCGCTTTTTTTTTCACGGTATCGTCTGGATACTTGAAGTACGGATATTCTGTTGTAGGAAAATGTTTAGCCGACTTCTCATAAAATAATATTATAATTGGAAAAGAAGTTTATTTTCACTAACTTTGGGCTTAGTGGGCAAATTTTCAAAATGATCCGCTTCTTAGTTTTTCATAAACGTGTAATACGCCATCCACCGTGAGACACCCTGTATTAGAAGCTCTATTTATTCCGATTATAACTATGTAGTTTGTTACTAAATAAAGGCCTGTTTGGGTAAATCCCTAGGTTTTTTTTGTATCTAATGCTTTTTTTTTCATTTTTGGTGATCCACTTTATCCATATTCCATGTTAAAGTCGGCTTTACCCCATACCACATGGTAAAGCCGATCACCATTTGCCCCTAAAACTTTTTTCTGATATTTGCCACGTTAAAAACTTTTTTTAGTTGCAGCAGGTTTGTGATTCAAAAATTAGGATTCGAGATGTGTTCATTGGGTTCCCAGGATCAGTTCACGATGCAAGGGATTTTAGCAACTCTTCTTTGTGTAATTCCTTACAACAAAAATGTGGCGATAAAGTTATACAAGCAGACAGTGCATATCCATGTCTTCGAAACCTTTTGACTCCATACACAGATATTGGCCCCCCTTATCCAACAGAAAAAACTTATAACTGCAAACTAAGCCGTTGTCGTATTTTATTTGAACATGTCTTTGGAATTTTAAAAGAAAACTTTCGACAATTGTATCATTTAAAGCTGAGAGATGATACCCTAATGTGTCACTTTATAAGAGCTTGCTGTGTTCTATACAACTACACTTTAGATCAAGAAGCCGAAGATACAGTTGAACTAGTTGAAGAAAAACAGCCAGAGGAAGCAGTTGAAAACCAGCAAGTTGAATTCAATGAAGCAAGGAACGCTTACCGAAATTATGTAGCAGCTCAACTGTTTCAGCAACTCTCATGTAACAAAAATAAACTTTAAATATAATACTTTAAAAGTAAATTTCAAAAAAAAATAATTGCATAACTCCTAACCTTAATCTAAAAGCCTATCAAAACTAATAATACTAAAAAATATTTATAAACCTCTAACCTATGAAAAACCTAAGATTTCTGTTTTCCCATAACTTAAAAGAACTAGTAGTTGTAATAATAACAGTGTTTTGGACTGTATTTCTTGTTGGTTGATCTTGAAATAATGGACTAGCAGATGATGATAAATACTTGGTTGATTGACATTTACTATTTGATTTTTAAATGAAAAAATGATTTTTTATATAAGCTGCTTGTTTCTTGTACGGCGGTGCTGCTTCTCGGCGGTGCTGGTGCTGCAAACGTTCCAGCTGACTTGTCTAGCTGTGTATTTTCTCACTCCCTCCTTCGTGCTTTAAGCCGGGCTCACAAGTCACAGCACAACGCTGCCAAGCCTCGATACGAAACATTGATGACGTAGGAATAAACGCAAAAAGGTTTGAGTGGCCGAAACATGCCCCCGGCCTTGAAAGGGCTGTACTTTCAAATTTCCAATGGAAGGGGTCAAATCTTCTGGAAGTTTCTTTTGATGGTCCCAGTGCTTGTTGAAATGGAAGCGATGCGAGCTACGCCATCAGCACCTGGGTGCAATTGAATGATGCGTCCAAGTTTCCAATCAGTAAGGAGGGCTTGGTCATCCCGAATGGGAACAAATGTACCCTCAGACAACTGGCCTCGGCTAACCTTCCACTTCTGTTTGTGTTGCAATTCGGATATGTAGTCTTGCTGCCAACGTCGCCAAAAATTTTGACAAAGTCTTTGAACTAGCTGGAACCTTGACAATCGATTGAGCTTGATATCTTCCAAGTTTTCATCTGGGGCGGCAGTTAGTGGTCTTCCGATAAGGAAGTGAGCCGGGGTCAAAGGAACTAGGTCATTGGGTTCAGAGGAAAGTGGAGAAAGAGGGCGCGAGTTCAAGATAGCTTCAATTTGCGCTAATGTCGTAATAAGCTCTTCAAAGGTAAGATGAGCATTTGCAAGAACACGTTTTACATGATGTTTTACGCTTTTGACGCCGCTCTCTCACAAAACCCCCATATGCGGAGAATATGGACAAATAAATTGCCAGTCTATCCCTTCATTAGTAGCATTACATTTTAATGTATCTTGATTGGATTCTAGAAATGTTTTAAGTTCGCGGTGTGCTCCAACAAAGGTTGTGCCGTTATCACTAACAATTTTGGAAGGTTTCCCTCTTCTGGAAACGAAACGCCTTAAAGCTAATAAAAAAGAGTTTGTATTTAAACTTGACACTAGTTCCAAGTGCAAAGCCTTTGTGGAAAAGCACACCGATACTCCAATATAACACTTTTCTAATTTGCGTGAACGTGATTTACCCAGTCGCTGCCTCACTAGAAATGGTCCCGCATAATCAAGTCCTGTGACGTCAAAAGGCGGAGAGGGAACAGTGCGATCGCGCGGTAAATTGGCCATGATCGGCTGTACATAATCGGGTTTAAATCTGAAACATCGAAAACATCTTTTGACCGTAGATCTAGCTAAATTGCGACCAGCAACTGGCCAAAATTCGTCTCTTTTTGAGGATAATAGAGCTTGAGGTCCGATGTGCATTAACTTGATATGTTCATGGGCAAAGAGCAATTTCGTAAAATGATGACTTGAATGCAATAATATTGGGTGTTTTTTATCTGGTGAAAAATCTGAAAATTCCAATCTTCCCCCAACCCGAATAATTTCATCTGAATCTAAAAATGGTGTTAAATTGAGAATTTTGCTATTGTTAGCAATGGGACGTTTTTCAATTAAATAGAAAATTCATCAGGAAAAGATTGTCTTTGTGCGACTTCAATTAGATGTTTCTTTGCAAGATTAAATTCTTGAATTTCAAGAGGGCCTTCAACTCGATCAGAAGTCGATTTCAAACAATTGTTCTTGAATCGCAAAGTAAAAGCAACAGCTCGAATCAAACGCAGAAATTTTGAAAACCTTTCGAAAGGAAATGTGTTTAATTCGAAAACTGGCATTGCGGTGATCGACAAGGGTTTCAAATCTGGAACGGTGTCGACTTTAGATGGTAATAACGGCCATTCACTACAGGGTGTCTTCAAAAATCTGGGTCCATGCCACCACATATCCGACTCTAGAATTTGATTTGGATATAATCCTCGAGATAAGTGGTCTGGATTTTCTTGACTAGGTACGTGTCTCCAATCTTGACTGTCGGTTAGATTTTGAATTATTGCTATTCTGGTTGCTACAAACGTCTTTAATACGTTTGGAGTCGTTCTGATCCATGCTAAAACGATTGACGAATCCGACCAATAGACACATTTTTGAGATTGTATATTTAAAGACATCTTAATCTTGTTTACAAGATGAGCAAGTAATAACGCGGCGCATAATTCTAACCTGGGTATGCTTAAAGTTTTAATGGATGCAACTTTGGATTTCGAACATAAAAGCCTTACATGTACTTGATTATTTTGATCTACACTTCGAACATACAAACATGCACCGTATGCTCGCTCGGAGGCGTCTGGAAAACCCTGCAAATCGACTATCTGCGCCCCTTTGCCCACTACATGTCGTTCGATGGTTAATTGGTTTAAACAAAGTAGATCATCCTTGAACTTGCGCCATTCACAGGATAGATGTTTCGGTAAACTCTCATCCCAAGACACCTTTTCAGACCACAATCTTTGCATGAGGATCTTCGCTAAGATAGTACATGGACTCAACATTCCCAATGGGTCAAATATGCGAGCGGTGAAAAACAAAACATTTCTTTTTGTATCCATCTGATAAGTGCTTATATCAATGCGAAAGGTTAACTTGTCGTTATAGCAGGACCAAGTTAAACCTAGGGTTTTAGCTGTTTCATTAGGACTGAAAGGTAATATAAATTTTATCCAAGGGTGAGAGTGGGTATATGGTCACGTGGTCAGAGGAGTAAATTTTTTCTGCTGTGTTTTCGGACGCACTGATGTATAATTAATCTAAAATATAAAAACATAAATAACATTTAGGCCCAGTGTTCTGTGCATTTCATTTAAAGTTTGTTTTTTATTTAAAGATAATTCCCAAAGTCAAAAATTTAGTAACTATGTTGGCAACACAAGCCTTTTCTACATAAAAACATTGAAAGCATTAGGGAATCCAAACCTCGTGACTTTTGCCAACTAGCCGGCATTTTGAAATTTTTGTGAGGTTAGAATACGGGTTGTTACATGTCAACGATGTCAGAAAAGTGTCAGATTTGATAAAGCCTAGTACTCATAACAGCGAAATACGCTGTTTTTTGACATTGCTTCGACAAGTTGACGTTTTATGCGTGAATCAAACGTCAAATTGTCGAAGCAACGTCAAAAAAGAGCGAATTTCGCGGTTATGAGTACTAGGCTTAATTCAGTCAAAAAAAAACATATGTTTTTTGTTTATTGTTTGCCAACCAGACGCCATTTGGACAAGTCGTTGGATTGCCTAATTCACAATTTTACATTGTATTGCCAACATAATGTCTTTTTGACTTTTATCTTTAAAAAAAAGACTATCTGTCCGTACCTATTTTATCAACTTCCGAGAAACGGAAAATAAAATTAACATATCTCACTAATCTGAAAGTAGTAGATTTACATGAAAAAACTGACAATGACAGGAGTGAAATTTACCCAGCGGCAGAGTTGGTTAAGAAAGAGTGCACACCATGTGCACACTGGGTAGCACACCGGATATTTTCGAACTAGTTTATACCAATTCATTTTCGAACGGCTGGTGTGCACTCGGTGTGACGCCCAGGATGATTTCGAACGCACTCCAGCGCTAAATCGATTTGTCATTTTCTGGCATGCGGACGCCTGTAAATTCGTCAGGTTACATCAT